CTGGTGTACATAACAAAAATCTTGTAAAAGTAATCACTGAGAAAAATTGGAAGCATTAGGATATGAAGATTAAGAAAAAGCACTGTCTTATGTAAATGGGACATCAGAAAGGGCAATGTTTGAGAAAGGCAAGTGATCCTGAAATATTCTTGGGAAGTTGATAACACTGTAGTTTTTAGGCTACTGCTATCTGAAGGCTCCCATTGGGGAGTTCTAGCAAATTCGTGCTCACTTAGAAAAATGAGGCAGAATATTCTTCAAATTTGGATTTATAAAGAAGGACAGAGAAGATAACCAATACTTTTGAGAGCACTGGTTGTAAAAGTTGTTTATAAAAGTTCAGTACCAGAGTCCCAAGCTTAGTTGGAGGCTTACTACTAGAATCTACTTCAGAAATTAAGAATTAGTTACAAGATTCCAGATAAACCACTAAAAAGTGGGGAGAAATAAACTAATCACATAATGAAGTCCTCTGTGCCAGGCACTTTACACATGTCATCTGTGTTAACCCTCAAAATCTACCTTATGAGAAAGATGTTTCCTTTACTTTTTGGAAAAACAAACTAAAGCTCAGAGGAATTTAGTGACAAGCTCAAGGTATTATGGAGGAGAAGAATAAGGTTGTGGCTGAGAGCTGTCTGATTCCCCATTCCATACTCATCTCCCCATAGCATAGAAAATCTTGGTCAAGTTGCAGGGAGAATTGGCCATTTTGGCACCTAACCTATGCTGCTTGAAGCGTGCTTTGTACAGTGTCTAGGGATTGGTTAGAAATTTAGAGTTTATGCACAGAGTCTAGGGTTCACTTTCTCTGGCTTTCTTTCTCTTGCCAGCTCCCCTGTTCTTTTCTGGTAAGTGGTGGTTCTGAACTCTGTCATTTAGTTCTTCAAGTCACTAAGATGAAGTTTGCCATTTGAGTATTCCTCATCCACACAATATAGACTGAGGTCTGCCCTGAGGATTGACTTGGTTTTTATGAAAACATGAAACACATCAATACCTTCTATTTTTTCCTAGAATCAACTCCCCTTCAGAACCTACCTTTCCTCATTCCTGTCTCCATACTTTTGTTTTATATATTAAGTCCAGAGATTAGAATTATTTTCAGAAGAGTTAGTTTGATGATATCAACTTTGCCATTAATGAGAAAAAATGTTTAAATAAAAAATTCAGAACCAAATAGATGGTTTCTAAAAATAGATTCATTTTCTTTTCATCCTTTCCTTTTGATAGACTGAATACCTCTTGGTACTCACTAATAATCTGTTTGTAGATTCCTTTTGTAGAAGATTTAGTTGCTACAGTGTCCCAAAACTAACAACAAATTCCACTGGCATTTCCTGTATCACATTCATGTGTAATAGAATTTAAGCTTCTGTACTGCCCTCTAATGGGTGACTGAAATAAAAACCAAACTATTCCAAAGCACTCTATAAAATAGAGATAAGGCAAATTTTCAAGCAGTTCAATTGGTGAGTAACAAATTGTAGTAGACTTGAGTCTCCCTAATAGCAAATATCTGATTGCAAACTCTTTACCTTTTTTACTTTTATTAGTGACAACAACAATTTAAAAGCTCTTAATAAACTTTTGAGATGTTTAAAGGATTCATGGTGTAGTTATTGGATGAAGGCAATAATTAAGTACTATATAAAATTTCCAGAAGCACCTGGAAAAGAAAGTATTGAGGAGATAGTATCAATGACTTATTGTCAATGCCAGGCAAAAATGGAACTTAATTTAGGAAGAGACCATACAAATACTCATATGCTTTCTTGGAGTAATATCGCCATCTTGTGTATTTTCTGGCTATTTCTGATTAAAATATAAAAAATATGTAAAAAATATAAAACACTTTTCAATATTATTTAATAAGGAAAATTTGAATTTTTGTTTCAAGATTCAAACAAAAGTGTACAAATACAGTTATACATACTTATACGCTTAAAAAAACAACTGCGCTGTGGTATAATTATCAGTCAACAAAATGTACCCTCCTCAAGTATGTCAGTCCAAGGAAGTTGTAACCAATCTATACACACCCAGGCAATCACTAACGCAATCAAAATCTAGAATGTTTTTATCCCTTCCAAAATTATTGTTGTGCTTACTTACAGATACTCCCCTTGCCAGCTCCAGGCCACTATGTGCTTTCTATCACCATAGGTCAGTTTTGACATTTTAGAATTAAACATAAACAGAATTATATAGTATGTGTTCTTGTGTGTCTATATCAGTTTGTGTTTTTTTTTTCATTCAACATAACATTTTTGAGATCTATTCATGTTACATCTATCTGTACTTTACTTATTTTTACTATTGAATAATATTCTCTTTTGTGAATATATCTCATTTATTTACTCATTCTCCTTTATGAACCTTTCAATTTTTTCTAATTTTTGACTATTATGAATAAAATTGCTATGAGAGGGCTGGGGGTGTAGCTCGGTGGTAAACTGCTTGCTTAGCACATGAAAGGCCCTGGATTCCATCCTCAGTGCTGGAGAAATTAAAAGATTGCTATGAAAAAAATGTGTGTGACAAGTATGTTCAAATGTTCTCATTATTCTTGGTAAAAACCTAGAAGAAGATTTCTGGATCTTAGAGGAAAAACAAACAAATAAAACCCCAAAAAACAAAGTATCTTCTAAAATTGTACCATTTTACATCCCCATAGCAAACAACAAGTGTTCTAGCTGAAACATGGCCTTGTCTATATTTGGCATCATCATTCTCTTTAGTTTTACCCATTCTACCAGGTACACAGTAATTTATGATGACTTTTAATTTGCATTTCCCTGTTAATAATGCTGAGCTTTTCATGTCCTTATTGGCTATCTGTGTATATCTTTGATTATCTATTAATTCATTTGCTTCCTTTGCTTAATAAAATTGGGTTGTCTTTTAATTATTGAGTTAAAATATTTCTCTATATATGTTCTATATAAGTCTTTGCCAGATATATGTATTGTTAGTATTATTTCCTGGTTTGTGCTTCCTTTTTTATATTTTCAGGATACCTTGAAAGAACATTTTTTAAAGTTTTTGATGCATCTACTTCATCAATTTTATATCTATTTTTATATCGAATTTTATATCTATTTTTCTGTTACCTTAAAAATCTTTGTTTATAATAATATCACAAAAAATGTCTTCTGTTTTCCTGTATATTTTACATGTTGTTATATTTTAATCTCTGATTCTTTTTCGTGTTTTTTATTTGTTTGTTTGTTTGTTTTTGTGCATCATATGGCAAAGTAGTTAACATTTATTCTTTTTCTATATGGGCATCTATGGCACCAGCACCATTTGTTACAATCATTTCATCATCCTTTTTCCCATGGAATTACCTTGACACATTTTTTTCCCCCAGAACTAGGGATTAAACACAGAGCTTTGCCTGATACTTTTCTTGAAAATCAATTGACCATCTCTGAGTGAGTTAATCAACCCAATTCTGGACTCCCTGTTTTTTCTTTTCTTTTCTTTAATTATTAAACTTTAAGTTAACATGATACTGTCTTGCTTCTCTTGTTCTGTAGTAAGTCTTCAAGTCCTCCAACTTTCTTCATAAATTTTAGGAACAGCCTGCCAACTTCTACAAAACAGCTAGCCGAGAGTTTGGTCGAGAATGATATTATACCTATCAGTTTGGGAAGAATTGACATATTAACCATGTTGAGTCTTCCAATTCATGAGTATATTTTTTCTTAATATATTTAATTACTTTCAGTAATTTGTTGGTGATTTCCAGTACATTGATTTTGGATATATTTTGTTAAAATTTATCCCTAAGTATTTCATGATTTTGATGCTAATATGAAAATACAATGGTGTTTAAAATATTTCATCTTCTAATTTTTCATTAATAATATATAAAACAAACAATTTTGTATATTGGCAGTATGCTGTGACCTTCTAAATTTCGATCATTAGCTCTAATGTAGTTTTTGGAAATTCCTTAGGAATATCTAAACACACAATGTGCCATCTGAAAATTTAAAAAATAACATTTTTGTCTCTAATTTTCTGTCTTGTTTATACTAGTTAGACTGGCTAGGGCTTCCAATATAATGCTGAATGGAAGTGATGGAAATGAAGCCTTGTTATCAATATTTGAAAAACTAAATTTTCTTTTCTCATCTAATATGATATTTGCTGTACATATTTAAAAAGTGATATCAGTTTGAGAGATTTTCATTTTATTCCCATTTTGATGAAATTTTAGTTATGAATGTGGGCTAAATTTTATCAAATGTACTTTTTATTCTTGCGCTGAGGAAACAAAACATTCTCTCTCCCTTTCCCATTTATCCTATTAATATGAATTGTATTGATTTTTCAAATATTAAGGCAATTTAGCATTTCTAATAAAAATCTCAGTTAATCATAATGAATTATGTTTATTATAGCTAGCTGGATTCTATTTGTTGATAGTTCATTGAAAAATTTTATATCTCCTTCATGAGTAATATTGGGAATATTAGTGTTCAATTTTCTTTAAAGTTATATGTCTAGTTTTGAAAACAGAGTAATGTTAGTTGAAAAAATTGAGTTGAAAAGGATTCCCCCCTCCAGAGTCTGAATAATATTTATTTTTATTAAATGTTTGGTAAAATTCCCCAGTGAAGACATTTGGGCCTAAAGTTTTCCTTATATGTTTATAACTTATGAATTCTATTTCTTTATACATAAAGTTTTTCAGACTTTTCTATCAATAATTTTTGTCTTATAAGGCATTTGTTCCTTTTTTCAAAATTATCAAATAGACTAGATTTGTTTGTACTATTCTATTAGTACCTATTTGATGTCTATAGAATTTGGAGCATTGTTTTCTCTTCCATTCCTAATAATGGAGATTTATATTTTCTCTTTTATCTTATCAATTTAGCAACAGATTTACCAATACTTAATTTCTCAAAGAATCTGCCTTTTAATTTCATTGATTTAACTATTGTCTGTTCCAAGGGACAGCACTTTTTCTCTGAAGGATTAAAGAATAAATATTTTAAGTTTGTGGGCCATTCAATTTGAATTGACAGTACTAGACAATAAGTAAATGAGTGAGTGGAACTATGTTCAAACAAAACTATTTTATAAAACAGGTGTCAAGCCAGTTTTTTCCCTGTAAGCTGTTGATTTGCTCATCCCGACTGTATTAATTTCAATACTTTTTACTTTTTTCTTCTTCCTCCTTTTAAGTTAGTATCTTATTTTCCAGATTTCTAACATAGAAACTTCCCAATGGATATAGAATTCTAGGTTCATATTTCTACCACTTAACCTCTACCCTCACTAGCAGCTTAAAGAGGTGATTCTGCCCTTTTTGTTTCATATGACATGTATGCTTTTGGTCATAACTTTTTATCCATATATGTATGTGTGTATGTTTATTTTTTAATTGGCTATTTTAAGATAATAATCATTTTACTCAGTGGTATTCAGAAATTCCACTGTTAGCCTTGGCCTTGTTTTTTTTTTTTTTCATTTTTTTTTACTCTTTATTCTGTTTGAATATATTTTTTTAACTTATTGGATCTGTCAGTTTTCATCAAATTTGGAAAATTTTGTGTTTTTTGATGTCATCGTCCTATCTTGAAATCATCTTCAGTGGAAATATTTATACTGTGAAAAACAGGGCTACAAATCAAAGCTCTTTCTCCCCACCAGAGTCGGTTTTAAAAATTTACCAGCATGCTTTGGTCTGCAGGTCATTATGTTTGGTTCATTCTCAATCTTTTCTTTCTATGCTTTAATTATGGTAATTTTTATTGTTGTGTTCAAATTTATTGATCTTTTCATCTGACATTCTACTTGGGTAGGATACCTCTAGTGAGGATTTTCCCTTTTAGATATTGTATTCTTCAGCTCTTAAAGTACTATTTGGTTTTTGCTAAGATATTCTCTATTGATCTGTTCATTATGTTTATTTTTCTTTAAAATCATAGGGCTTATTTTAAAATAAATTTATTAAAATTTATTAATTAAAATTTTAAAATAAATTCATTAATTTTATAGTCATTCACTGACAATTCCCTCATCTCTGCTATTTCTACATCTGTTTCTAATGACTGGTTTTTCTTCTTGTTATGTCGCATTTTTCTTTTTAAATAGTTACTAATCAATTTTGAATGTTTAGCCTAGATTTGTTCCTTCTTTTCTTCTTTTGTATAAGTATTATGGTAAATTTAGTTTTATTATTGAGATGCCAGCCTTCTAAGGTTTCTACTAAATGTTCCATAGAGTCAACAATGCCTCTCCATTTGGTTGGTCAGAACTTAAATATCTCCCAGACCTTGGGTTCTCTGGGAATCATAACTCCTGGTCATTGTTAGCTTAACCTTGTGGAGTGACATCTTACATAAACACATATTGGTTTTCATCAACAGACTCAAAGGGAACTCTTTACAAATTTCCAGAGGGCTTTCTACATCCAGCTCCTTCCTCTATGCTAGTGTACCCTAGAAATTCCAGCCATCTCAGGCTTCTGGATATCTAATAATTCACATTTTCTGCATCAGATTCACCTCCCTATCTTATGACTTTGGTTTGAAAAGGGATAATTTTAAGATTCTATTTTTTTGTACTCTGACTATGGAAGTTTTGTACTTCTTGTTCCCTAGTGTCTCAAAATAGTTATGTCTTACATTTTATTCAGTTGTCATTTAATAAGTCTTATTATGCTTTTCCATCATAGCTAGCAGCTAAAATCACTGTACACTTGAACAAACCAATGATATTCCTTCATCTAGGATATACCAGTGTTGTTGACAGGGCTTCAAATCACACTATTAAACTTAGGTTGAATACATTATGAACAATAAGAAGTTAAAATCCATTGTTTAATACCAATTATAACTGAAGTAACTGGGTACTAAAGTAGTTATTCCTTGGTACTAAATAATTAGAATGGAATAAACTAAACTGAGAGATAGGTGTTAAATTTCTCTAAAAATAGCTATAAACTAACCATACAGGGAGGGCAGTAGAAGTGGTAGAGAAACAGATAAAAATAGAAAAATACTCTGACCTGGGAGTTAGGAAGCTTGGTTCAAAAACCTCTGTATTTTCCTCATTTGCTTCTAATTGTCTGCAAAAAAAAAAAAAAAAAAAAAAGACAATTAAACTCTTTATTCTATAAACAATCTTTCTGGCTTGATAATTTTTGCTTCATTTTTTGTTCTTTCCACTGTTCTTAGCATTATCACATGTTAATTGGTGTAATATCCCTTGGCTAGAACACTGATCTTCTCAGGAATGGTAGGTGCTAACAGCAGATCAGGACACTGTGAGAAGATATAAACAGGACATATCAAACTCCTTCTTGTAATAAATTAGATGTCTCTATATTTTCCATGGTAAAAGAATTTCTGGGCAAAAGGATTACAAGATATTAGAGCCTGATATTTTAATATCCCATCTTCTTGTTAAAATAAAATCATTGTGAAATAAAAGTGAAATCCAGAATTTACCTGCTCCAACATTTTGTAATAAACAATAATTAACAGCACCAAAAAGCCAAGGGGGAAACCAAATAAGAAAAAGCATACAACTTCATGCCATAAACTTCACCAAAAAGAAAGGGAAAAACAACATAAAAGGAAAATTCTGGCATAGCTCCCCAAACTTAATCCTAATCACCAGAACAAGTGACCAAAATATTGAGAATTTCCATAAATATTTCTTACTTTGGAAAAAAAAGTAGACTGAGGAGCCAAGTAGAAAATAATTTTTCAAGAGTAAAAACTGCTACAGCATGACACTGATCCAAGAACAGAGGTAGCAGAGATATCAGCACATTTGGAACTGAAAGAATAGTCTGTGTTTTCTTCCACATTAACTGTGTGCACTCTGGACCAAATGAATCTCAGAACAAGACACTGGGTCATATTTCAGAGCAGAAAATAGAATATGCATCCTTAAGTCAAAGAAACATTGAGAGATAGGCCTATGTCACTTTCCATTATTCTCAGATGACAGAGAATGGGATAAAAACAATACATAGATTCCAAAACAGGACTCTTAAAAAAACACAAAGGATACAAAGGTGAATTCACTTACACTATAGATAGCAAAGGAAAAGTCAAACAGAGCTGCCTGTGTTTGGCATATGCAAGATTTTTTAAAAATCACATAACTATTATTTTCTTCATTTTTTAATTTTAAGTTTTTGTAATAAAATTTTAAAAGATATTTAAAATTATATAAGCATAGTACTGAAACATATATACATAGAGATTAAAATAGACAGATAACCTAGTACAGTAGAAAACTCAAATAGAAGGAAGCTCTCTATAAATAATATCTGGGACGAAAAAAGGATAATAAGGACATTAACCACATAACATTATTTATAATCAATAAACTAATTTAAAACATAGAATGAAATAAAAAAGGTAAGTTATACACTAAAGAAAAACTTGAGAGCCAAAATACCAACATCAAAGAATGAATTAAAAACAAGACACAGAACAGTTAAAACCTGAATAAAAAAGTATAAATAATGGGGCTGGGATTGTGGCTCAGTGGTAGAACACTTGCCTAGCATGTGAGAGGCCCTGGATTCTATCCCCAGCACCTCATAAAAATAAATGAATGAATGAATGAATGAATGAATAATAAAGGTTTTGTGCCCAACTACAATTTTAAAATGTTTTTTTAAAAAGTATAAATAAGCTTGGTTAACCATAGTACAGAAGGAATAAAGTAACACAGTCAAGAAAAATACTATCAAGAGTAAAGAAAAGTTAACAAAAGTTCAATCTCCTTTGAAAAGATATCCTAACAGGTCAAACAGAAAACATTACAACATGTAAGAATAAAAATTTTCCCTGAACCAAAGTAAAAATCAAATAGTATAGGGGAAAAATTATACAGAATATCACTTTCCAATGAGGTAAAGCCTGTCACTGAATTTCAGGAGTAAAAAATAATTCTTTAATCACACATAGAAAACAAAAGATGGAAAACTTTTTGAGTTAACAACAGATTTCCCCTTAGAAACAATTAGTGCTGGAAAGTAATTGAACAATTATATTTCAACAAAGTCAAAAGATACCCACTTTTAATGCACCTAAGTCACTGAAGTATAAAGCCAGTTGCACTCAAACATACATGTACTCAAGAAATATCATGCTCCCAAACCCCTTTGAAAAAGAAAAGAAAGCCAGGCGTGGTGGTACAAGCCTGTAATCCCAGCAACTGGGGAGGCTGAGGCAGGAGGATCAAGACTTCAAAGCTAGCCTCAGCAATTTAGTGAGGTCCTAAGTAACTCAGTGAGAACCTGTCTCTAAATAAAATATAAAAAATGGATGGGGATGTGGCTCAGTAGTTAAGTGCCTCTGGGTTCAATCCCTGGTATCAAAAAAAGAAAACAAAAAGAATAAAGAAAGTACTTAACAATAAAATCTAACTGACCAAAAACTATCTTTAAAATTAAGTTTAAAAACTGTAATCCATTTTCCTAATGTGAGTTTTCACAGAGCTCTCCTCTATAAAGTTAATTCTACATGCAACAGTGGAAAACATTTCATGATTCATTTCCTTTGAAATTATTCTGTGTGAACAAAAATAATACTTGTTTGAATTTTTAATATTTCTTTTAGGAAACTAACAAATTTTACTCTCTGTATGAACTTACATGGGATGCCATAACAGAGTACCAAAAAACAGGTAGCTTCAACAACAAAAGTTTATTTTTACATAATTCTGTGGGCTAGGAATCTGAGATCAAGATGTCAGCAAGGTTCATTTCTTCTGAAGCCTCTCTCCTTGATAGTAGGTAGTCATCATCTCCCTGAATCCTATCATCCCATCTCTATACATATCTTTATTCATTTTTTCTTTTTAAAAATGACATAAACTAAGTATGGTGGCATTTGCCTTGTAATCCCAGGTACTTAGGAAGCTGAGGCAAGAGGATGGCATATTCAGCCTGGGCAACACCAAAAATCAAATAACCCAATCAATAAACGGGCTAAGGAACTGAACATATACTTTTCAGAAGAAGATGTTCAATAAATCAACAAATATATATACATAAAAAAATTTAACATCTCAATTAGAGAAGTGCCAATCTCAAAACTACACTAAGATTTCATCTCACTCCAGTCAGAATGATAGTTTTCAAAAATACAAGCAACAATAAGTATTGACAAGGATGTGGGGGAATAGGTATACTTATATTGCTGGTGAGACTGCAAATTGGTGCAAACACTCTGGAAAATAGTATGGGGATTCCTTAGAAAACCTGAAATCAAACCACCATTTGACCCAGCTATCCCAGTCCTTGGTCTATACCCTAGAAATTTTAAATCAGCATACTATAGTGATACAGCCACATCAATGTTTATAGCAGCTCAATCTACAATAGTTAAACTGTGGAACCAACACAGATGCCCTTCAATAGATGAATGGATAAAGAAACTGTGGTGTATATATACAATGGGATATTACTCAGCATTAAAAGAGAATAAAATTATGGCATTTGCTGGTAAATGGATGGAATTGGAGAATATCATCCTAAGTGAAGTAAGTCAATCCCCAAAAAAGCCAGAGGCTAAATGTTTTCTCTTATAAGTGGATGCTGCTCCATAATGGGAGGGGGGCATGGGAACAATGAAGGAACTTGGCCAAAGGGGAGAGAAGGAAGAAGAGCAGGCATGGGGATAGGAAAGATGGTGGAATGAGATGGACATCTTTACCCTAGGTACATGTATGACTGCACAAATGGTGTGACTTTACATTGTCTACAACCAGAGAAATGAAAAGCTGTGCTCCATTTGTGTACAATGAATTTAAATACATCTGCTGTCATGTATAACAAATTAGAACAAATTAAAATAGTACTGGGGATGCAGCTCAGTGGTAGAGCACCCCTGCAATCAATCCCCAGTACCAAAATAAATTAATTAATTAAACAAAGCACCAGTCATACTGCATTAGGGCCTATCTTAATGACCTCATTTTAACTTAATTAGCACTTTACCGATACTATCTCTCAAAATAGTCACATTCTGAGGTACCAGGGCTAGGATTTCAACATAGAAATTTTGAGGGGACATAGTTGAACTCATAATGCTCTTCTCCATAACTTTATGTGAGTGGATAGTATCATATTTCATTATTGAAGCCCTGAGGAATATAATAAATAGGTCAGCACCCCTTCGCCTGTTTAAATACATCAACTTATTAGGACTAAGTTCATGGTCAAAATCATATTTTTCAACTCCTTTGTCTTGGACAAGTATTGAACTTCTCAGAATCTTGATAAAAATGATTTGAGCAAGTTGTATAGGTGAAAAGTACACATCTCAATGTTGCTTAATGTTGTTTTAGAGAGAGCATAAACAGTGAGTGACTAGTTTCTCTCCATCTCCTATGGATCTTAATTTTTATTTTAACTTTGTACTAGACTTGTTAGAGTAGTTTTGGGTCTATAAAAAGTGAATAGAAAGTATAAAGTGCTATTATAATTCTTTACATATCCCCTCTGCAGTTTCTCCTGTTATTACTATTTTGTATTGCTTTTATATTTGTTATAGTAAATACATTAATATTGATATATTTATTATTAACTATAGACCATAGTTTACATTTGGGTTCACTCTTTGTACAGTTCTACAAATTTAAAAATATATATATAGTGTCATATATTCATTATAGTATATTATCATATAGAATTGATTTCAACTGCACTAAAATCTACTGTACTTCTCCTGCTCTTGCTCCTTCCCTCATTTCCACTCAGGTCCCTGAAAACCAATCACTGATCTTTTCACTCTAAAGTTTAGCCTTTTCTAGAAGGCCATCTAGTTGGAAATATACAGTATGTAGTTTTTCAGACTGGCTTATTTCACTTACCAATATGAATTTGATGTTCTTCTATGTTTTTTCATGGTTTGATAGCTCATTTCTTTTTAGCATGGAATAATATTCTATTGTCCGGATGTATACAGTTTATTCATTCATTTATTTAAGGACATCTTGTTTGCCTTCACATCCTGGCAATTAGGAATAAAGCAATTTATTATAAATTATATATTATTAATTAATAATATTAATTATTAATATAAATTATTAATATTATAAAGCAATTTATAAATAAACATTTATAAATTTTTGTGTGAGCATAAATTTTCCTGTCATTTAAATAACTAAGGAGTACAATTGCTGGAGAGTATGATGGACTACATATAGCTTTGTTAAGAAAACGCTAATCTGTCTTCCAAAATTGCTGCACTTTGCATTCTTATTAGTAATACACAGAAGTTTCTGTTGACCCACGACCTTCCCAGAAATTGTCTGTGTTTTGGATTTTCAGTTACTCTAATAGGTCTGTAGTGGCACCTTTTTGTTTTAATTTGCAAATTCATTGATGCCCTGTGATGTTGACTATCTAATCAATATGTTTATTTCCCATCCATATACATTCTTTTGTGAGATGTTCAGAGATTTTGCATATTTTTAATTGTGTTTTGCTTTCTAATTGCTGAGTATAAAGAGTTCTTTGTGTATTATGGATGGCAGCCCATTGTAGATCTGATTTTTAAATACTTTATCCCATATAAGTCTATGGCTTATATTTTCATTTTCTATGCAGATTTTTGCACATTTTAAGATCAAACTGTTTTAGTCATATGGATACTAGTATGGAGGTTCCTCAGAAAATTAAAAATAGAACTAAGAGATGATTCAACAATCCCACTATTGGGCTTATACTCAAAGGAAATGAAATCAGTAGGCTGAAGAGAAGTCTTCATTCTTCATGTTTATAGAGTCCTATTCACAATAGCTAAGATAGGAGTCCTTCTAAGTGTATATCAACAGATAAATGGATTAAGAAATGTGCATGTATACATAATGGAATAATATTCAGCCATACAAAATAATGAAACCTTGTCATTTTTGACAATACTGAAGAACCTGGAGGACATTATGGTAAGTGAAATAAGCCAGGCATAGAAGGACAAATACTGTATAATCCCTTCCATGTGTGGAATCCAAAAAGAGCTGGTCTCAATGAAGTTGAGAGTAAAATGGTGGCTTCTAGAAGCTTTCTGAGGCAGACAAGTTGGTGATAAGAAAACTGGACATTCACATGGAAAATAATTAAATTAGACCCTGATTTCTCACCATTTAGAAAAATCAACTCAAAACGAATTAAAGACGTAAGTGTAAGACCCCCAAACACTAGAAAGCATAGGAGAACTATTTTATAACATTGATCTGACCACTGATTTTTTTTGATAAGGCCTCAAAAGCAAAGGCAACAAAATAAATGAGATTGTATGAAACTGAAAGGAAACAATCAACAAAGTGAAGAATTGACCTAAAGTATGGGAGAAAACACTTATAAACTACATATCTGATAAAGGGTTAATAGTTAAAACTCATAAAGAACTCAAACAACTCAACACAAAGAAAACAAATAATTCTATTTGAAATGGGCAAAAGACATAAATAGAACTTCTCAAAAGAAAGCATACAAATAATAGGTACATTAAAAAAATGAACAAAACAATGACAAAAGGCTTACCTAACCACTAAATATCAAGGAAATGCAAATCAATTTCACAAAAAGATATCACCTAATACCTGTTAGAATGTTTATTATCAAAAAGAAAAAAGATAACAAGTGTTGGTTAGGATGTAAAGAAAAGGAAACCATTAAACACTGCTGGTGGGAATGTGAAGTAAAATGTTCAGTATGGAAAACAGTATAGAAGTTCCTCAAAGCATTAAAACCAGAACTACCATATAGCCCAGCAATCCCACTTCTGGAGATTATATATCCAAAAAAATGAAATTAATACATCAAAGAAATATCAGCATTTCCATGTATATTACAGCACCATTTACAATAACCAAGATAGAGAATCAACTTAAGTGTCTACAACTGATGAATGGATCAAGAAAATGTGGTATGTATAAACAATGGATTACTATTCAGTCAAAACAAGGAAGGAAAAACTGTTATTTTTGACACCTTGATGAAATCCTATAACATTAAGTAAATTAAGTAAAATAAGCCAGGTACAGAAGGACAAGTACCACCCACATGTTGAATCTAATAAATTTGATCTCAAAAAAGTAGAGAGTAGAAGAGTATGTACTAAGGAATGGATGATTAGAGGGGAGGGGTAAAAGGAAAACATTCATCAAATTTAATTCATCAAATTAGGAAGGAAGAAAATAAAAAATGCACCTAGATAGCTAAATATTTATAAATGAGAAGTGATGGCTAGGGGCTGTGGAGTAGTGGTAGAGAGAACAGGTGGGTGGGTGGGGGGAAAATGGGAAATGATTATCCATAGTCATGGAGTTTCTTTTTTATGTTATACACATGCTTAAAGGTTTTTGCAGTAATGGTTATACAACTTTGTTGCATACTACAAACTACTGACTGTACCTTTCAAGTGGGTGAATTGCATGATATATGGATTATATTTTTAATAAAGATTTTTAAAACAAAAAAAAATAGCAGCACTGCACAATGGAAGATGCCTCAAACACTGAATGATTGTGCCAAACATCACATCCCTATTTCAAATCCACTTTAGACCACTGTCATGGAAAGAAAGAAACACTATTAAACCAAGTTGTGTTGCAGCAGTCAGCTAACCTACAAAAAACATGCAGGGAAAGAAGTTCATTACAGAAAATGTGAAATATATACACAATGGAGTATTACTCAGCCATGAAGATGACTTTATGCCATTTGGCAGTAAATGGATGATCTGGAAACTATTGTGCTAAGTGAAATAAGCCAGTCCCAAAAGCCAAAGGTTGAATGTTTTTGCTGATATGAGGGAGAGTACAGTGTCAACTCTATGACCTCTAAGGGAGACTGTTTGGTGATATCTATCCAAATTTAAAATGTATGTGCCTTTTAACCAGTCATCCTACTTTGAGAAATTTATCCTACAAATGTTATTTGCATATGTGTGGAATTATATGTGTTCCACGTTGCTCACTGCAGCATTGTTTATGATAGCAGGAGAATGGAACAATTTAAATGCCTCTCAACTGGTCAAATAAATTATAGCATTAAAACAGAATACAATACATTTTTTTAATTGAGAAAAAAGAAGTTCATTACAGAGACTAGGAAGTAGTCCGAAAAAAATCTTTTCTAAAAGTTATGACAGGAGCAAAGAGTTTCAAGAAGAAGTAGTCAAATAAAACTGTTTACTAGGATTGCCAACATAGGGCTAATGGTAACTAATTCTGTGCTATCTGTATATATCAGATTATCCTCACTACCCTATTCTAAATTGTGTTTTTGGCAAAATAAAGAGAATAAATTTTTCACAGTACTTGAAATGTCATGTTTTCAAAACAGGTTTGTGGGGAAAGAAAACTATATGTAATCCAATCTTATTTAACTCTAAAATATTCTGTTTGAAAGACTCTTTGTTCCTATGTACAGTCTTGATTTTTCCTGTGGAACTGTTAACACTTCTAAATTTTATATTACTCTAACTGCAGGTCTATCATATATAATGTCTGCACATCACCTTCTCTTCTAAAAAAAAAAAAGAGCTCTTTCCATTTTGCTTTGATACCAATGAAGTAATACACAACAAAAAGGCAGGAGCAATGGAGACATTGATTCCTCAAAAATTGTTTTAAACTCTTTCTTTCTTTAGGCAGAGGTCAAGAATCAAAGTGCAACACTAATTCAGTTTCTGATATTTTAACTGAGGAACAATTTTAATTTTTGTCATGTATACAATTAATTTACAATTATCACTTGTGTAAAAACAAAAATTTAAAAAATTTATTTAAAATCTGTGTGTGCACTTTTTTCCATCTCATTATAATTTTTTTCAAAGAAAAATTTAAAATATTCAGCGAATATCTATAAACTCACAACTAAGAATCTGAATTTAACATTTTGCCCTATTTGCTTTATCACACATAGGCCCACATATCTTCTACCCAATGAGGAATCTACTCTTTTTTTTTTTTAATAAAGTTAAGTTGTAGATACCGGACACTTCACTCCTAAATATATCAGCAGTTGTATCATTGAATTAGAGTTCATTATTTGCTTATAGTGGTGTTTTATTTCTTGAGATAGAATGCGTAGACCTTAGGAGTACTTTTGCTATGAACGGATATTTTTGTTCTCCCCCAGATTCATATGTTGAAGCCTTACTGTGATGGAATTTGCAGATGAGGTCTTTGAGAAGTCATTAGGTTAGGACAGTGGAGCCTCCATGAAAAGGCTTTGTGTTCTTATAATCCCCTGTCCAACGTATGAGGATACAATGAGAAGATGGCCATCTATAAATCAGGAAAGGGGTCTCTTCCAAGAATCCAGCCATGTTGCTACCATGATTTCCAACTTCCAGTCTTCAAAACTGTGAGAAATGAATGTTTGTTTTTTTTTAAGCCATCTCAATTTAATAACCTGTTTCCATTTCAGAGCATTACATTCACTTCCAGGCCTCTTATCCCCCTTCTTAATCCATATCCTCAGAGGCAAATGCTGTTACATTTTCTACCTACATTAATTTTGCCATGTCTAGAATTTCCTATAAATGGAATTGTGTAGTATGTATGCTTTTGCATAGGCTTCTTTCATTTTCCATTTATTTGTTCTTTTTATATATACATGACATTAGAGTACATTTTGACATATTATTCATGCAAGGATTATAACTTTCTATTCTTGTGGTTGTACATGAAGTGGAGTTAAACGGGCCGTATATTCATATATAAACATAGGAAACTTATGTATGATTCATTCATTTCCCATTTTAAAAAATATTTATCAATGTTCCTTCAAATAGCTTTCCCCTCCTCTCAATTATGGAGTAGAATTCCACTGAGAGATTACAACTGTATATTTTATCTATTCCACCAGTGGTGACCCCTATTTCTTTTAGTTTTTAAGGGTGGGGTTTTTTTCTCTTATGACTAAAGCAATAAATAAATATTCGTGTGCATGTCTTTTTGTGATTTTCATACATCTTTATTGACTATACTAGAATTGGAATTGTGGGGGTATAGATGTGGTGGTGCATACTTATTGTTATTTATAACAAGCTGCTAGATCTTTTACAAAAGAACTATGCCATTTTACACTCCTACACTCATATATGAGGGTTCTGATCTACCTAAATTTTTGTTCAGATTTGCTACTGTCAGCCTTTTTAAACACTCTTATGAGAGTGTAGTGAAATCTGGCCGTATGATATGCTATCATATCATGACTATTCCATCCAAATGATTTTCTAATTTCCTGTTATTTCTTCTTGACCCATGGATTATTTTAAAATATTCTGTTTAATATATTCCCCAAAACTTGGCAATTTTCTTCTTATCTGGTTTTTATAGATTTTAATTTAACCTAACAATAGATAGAGAAAACAATATATGATTTGAACTTTTTAAGACCTATTTTAAAATAAGTTTTAGGATCATAGCAAAATTGAGAGGAAGGTACAGAGAATCCCAGATACTCCCTACTCTTGACACATATATATCCTATCCCATTTTCAACAGCTCCCATGAGTGATATATTTATGACAACTCGTGACTCTATAATGATACATCATAATCACCCAAAGTTCACAATTTACATTAGGGCACACTCTTATTGTTGTATGTCCTACAGGTTTGGGAAAATATATGATGATAAGTGTCTAAAGGAGGACAAGATTCTGAATGGCCTTGGTGTGTGCAGCTCTTCCTCCTATGGGTTACAATTCTCAGACAGTATATAACATCCTGAGTTAAGAGGATTATATAAAGAGGTTATATAAATCTAACTTGGACTATTTTCATCTTGCCTACTATAGGATGTCCTACACTTGAGCCCAGTGAGCTCAGAGTGCCTGATGTAGAAAACTCAAGAGTAATTTCTGGGTTCCTTTGCTGTGGTGCAAAGTGGGGCATGTGAAGATAACAATCCATCTACTCTAGGCAGCCTTCCAGAGCTTTTGATGGCCTACTCATCATATATTCTAGGCTTCTGAAAGTTCTCCCATCCTATACAAGTGATAAGTTTGTTTCACCTGACATGTTGTGTAAATGCTCTTGTTTTACCACTCATTCTGTCATCTGAGTATGTGCAAAACCTCTCAACAGACCTGAGAACCTGTGCAGCAGCCACCACTGTAGTATCAGCAGACTATATTCACTCTTAATTCCTGTGTTCTATTTATCCCTTCTGGCCCCAAGTTTGAAAACAGCTGATGTTTTTACTGATTTAGTTTGGCCTTTTCTAGAATGTCATATAACTGTAATCACATAGTACAACATCTTTTCATATTGGTTTATTTCACTTTGTAATAAACCTTTTTCCATGTCTTTTTATGGTTTGATAACTAACATTTTAGTACTGAATAATATTCCACTGTCCAGGTATATTAGTTTATTTACCCAATGACTACAGTTTGACATGGTGGTTTTATTTAGTTTTCCCATTTCTGACCACTCTTTCTCATTTCCTGCCTTTATTCTGGTTGTGTTATTTCTTTTCATACTAACATATTACTAGCTTTTCTGCTCTTTCTTTGCAGTATTTAATTTATTCTGATGGGGAAAGGAGGGGTGGCATATCATAGCCTTAAAACTACACCACTTCATGAGAAAGTTTCAATAATAGTTCCATTTACTACTTCTATAGCCAAAGGCTGTGTTTTGATTGGATTACATTTGCCACTTTCAAAATCAATGGCTGTGGCTCTGAATTCAAGGAGAAACTATAAATCACACATTGTGGGTATATAAACACAACTCATCCAAATATCAAGACTTATTAATTGTCCAATGTGATAATTTTAGTTACTCAGCAATCATGTCATATACGTGTATTGCAGTTAACAGTGCATCAATTTTTTGTAGGCTTTTCAAATACGTGATAGTATGATTATGGTTTTTTTTAAAAAGAGGTTTTTTGTTTTCCTCCCTTCCCTCCTCTACCCCTCCCTAACAAGATTAGGGAGACAGTGTTCTTTTCTTTCCCTAAAACACACCCACTACAGGAAAGAGATGCCTGCTAAGGATCTGAAAAGCGAATTAACAAGTGAATCCTAATACACCATCAGTGCACCTGGAACCCCTCCCTACCAAAGCACAATTGGAATGTGACCCTTGAAGAGTTAGTTCCTTTAAACACTCCCCTGCCCCCATCAAGAGAGTCACAGCCTTTTTTACGGGAGTCCCCAGTGTTTCTCCTTTGGTAGCAAAGCAATAAACCTTCTTTTTCTTTTTTCTTATACAATAAGGAGACACACATCCAAGCAGGACCTCAGGAAACAAGAACTTTGAAAAGACGTTCATTATCCTATCAAACGGGAATCTATCTTGGATTTACCCAGTTAGCGGCTACTAGAGAGCAGGCACCGCGCCACGCCGCAGGGGGCTTTTGCTGTGAACTCAAATAGCCTAATCACGCTGGTGGGGTGCAGGAGAGTGTATCAGGTACTTAGCGGAGCAAGAACTCTGAGGAAGCCCACGAAGTGTGGAAGAAAGGCAAAGTCCAGCAAAGACCACCCTCCCTCCCTTCCGGGAGGCGAGGCTAAAACGCAAATCGTGATGCGCCTGCGCACTGACGGCTCAGCGTAAAGAACCAATAGGACAGATGGGTGGGCGGGTTGTAGGCCGATACTTGATTTCCGGTTCCGGTGGACCTCTGTGAGTCGGCTGCTGTGCTACGTGTCTTTAGCATCTCAAGTGGCAACCGAGCCGCTGGGCCCTTGAGGATCTTCTTACCTGTAGGAAGGGGCTAACCCGAAGGGTAAGGGGGAACCGGGCGTGCCGGGACACCAGGCTTTTGTGGCTGGCGTAGGCGGGCTTCTGATTCCTACGGAGGCATTGGTGGGCGATGAGAGGATCCGCCCGTTGAGGTCTGAGTCTGGATCCGGTCCCAATTTACCTTCCTGCACCGCCTCCAGTGTAAACCTAGACCCAGAGCCGCGTCTACCCAGGGCTGAGTTCTGGTCCATGGCTCAGCTTTGTAGTTCCTCATTCTTTGCCGTCTCTCAGAGCGAACTCTTAAAATCTGGGGGGCTTCCAGTGTGTGTGGTCAGAGATGAAGGCCTGCCGCCTGCATGGTTGGCAGTGTGTGTGTGTGTGTGTGTAATCCTGCCTTATAAAATTTCTGTATATAGGTCTAGCCCTGCCACCACTCCTTGTGGTGTATAGTAGTGGAGTTGATCTAGTTTTTAAATGAAGAGATCGTGGTGGATTCTTGAATCTCCTCAGACCTTTGGATGCTATGTTCTTTGAAGTGAGGGTTTTTTTTTCTTTTTTTTTTTTTTGGGGGGGGGGGAAGTGTGCTAAGCATTTATCACGATGGCTTTGATTACATAAAGTTTAAAACCATAGGATTTCGGCAGAGTTAGAAAATAACCGTTATTGTGTTTTTTGTTCCAGAACATTTTCAGAATTTCTAATAACTCGTGTTTAATTACCCTAGGCGAGGAAACTGGGCCTTATAGAGGCCAAGGATTTGAATCACTATCTGACTACTGTTTTAAGCACTAGAAATAGAGTTAAATACCCTGCCCTTATTAGCTCTTTTACCAATGTCTTTGAATGACATTTCTATTAGCTTAATAAGCTCTCAAAAGAATCTATATGATGAAGTACATAACCCTGTTTCCTTAAAAGCTGTGTGCACAACTGAAGGTTTGGAGTTTATTAGTCTTACAGAATCTGGATCCTGCTTTGGCTAATCTTTGTGGGTTTGAAAATTTTACCGTCTGTCCATTCCACACAGTACACTCTGTATAGTGTGTAAGCATGGTTTATAACAATAAGGTTGAAATTTACGTTTTCTTTCATTTAAGGCTCTTAATTTCTGAGTAGTTTAAAATAAAATACAGAAAGTACTTTTTAGATCCTCGGATAGTTAGTTTGCTTCTTAGCAGAAACATTGAATGAGGAGTGGGTAAGGAATAGGATGTGTTGTCAGTTGTGTAACCTTTTAATAGAGAAAGCCCCTTTATATTAAATATGATTCTTTGTAAATAAGGATAACATCATTTGATCCGATGCTTTCCTGGAATTTACAAAAAGAACATAAATTAAGACCTTGGAGTCTGCTTTTTTTGTTTAGTTTTGTTTTATGAGATGGAATAGAATGTCAGGCATGAATTCATGGCTGGTCTCATTTACATCTTTATGTAACTTAGCAAGTCTTTGTTATGTGATAAATAATATTCCTGAGCAACTTTTGTTTGTTTGCTTAAACAGGCAATCATGGATCAGGTAATGCAATTTGTTGAGCCAAGTCGGCAGTTTGTGAAGGACTCAATTCGTCTTGTTAAAAGATGCACCAAACCTGATAGAAAAGGTAATACCTTTAACATGAGAGAAAAAGTTAAAAATCTTTGCATTTTTTTCTAAGCGTTGAATTTAACGTATTCCAGATTAGCATCCATTGCATTCCTTTCATCAGTATATGATTTATTTTGTTTTATTGCTTCAAAACATTATCACTTCTTAAATTGTATACAGTCTTCTAATTTTTTTTGTTCTGTGTTTTTCTTTTTGTTTGCTTTTTTTTTTTGGCCTCCCCCCCCTGCCCACCCTCTTGGTGTACTGGGCATGGAACCCAGAAGTAGTCTACCACTGAACTACCTCCTCAGCCCTTTGTTTTTTAATTTGGAATAGGATGTCTCACTGAGTTGCCAAGCTGCTCTGCTCTTTAAGTTGTGATCCTCCTGCATCAGCTTTCCAAAATCTGGGATTACAAGCATGCAGCACTGCTTTATATATTTGTTTATGTATTTTAAATGATCTAAGTTTAGTTATTACAGCTTTACTTTGCATGTTACACTGAAGTTAGTCATTTTATAATTTTTATATCTTTTATATTACTTCTCTGGAAAAATCTCTAGAGCCTTCTCTGCTCTATCCCCACCCAGTGAACAAAACTTTTAACATGAAACCAATAATATAGGTTGTTGCCAACCTAGAAAGTATATTTTGTCTTGTGTCATGATTCATGTGTTAAAAGGTACAGCAAAAGTAATATACTTTTATTCATTGAGTTAGGAACTCGGGATATAATACAAAATGTAATTTAATATTATGTGTAATACTATATAAATAAATACGATAGGGAACAGTCCTTGTTCTCATGAAGCTAAGAATCTATCAGAGAAGACTGTCATAAACAAGTCACTCCAATTGTGTTTTTAAATTACTGCTGGGGTAGGAAATAGGGAAATACTAGGAGGTCTGGTTCATTTAATGTAAGGACTGACCAAGTCAGGAGGTCAGGTAAAAATTTCCTGAGGCAATAACATGAAACTCAGACATACCAGAATTGAAATCTTTTTATAAAATTGTGCTCAATGTAATTTGATTTTTTAAAACCTTAATGTTGGATTCATTATGATATACCAGAAATTTATCATTGTTTCAAATATACCAAATATATACCGAAATTCTGATTTTATAATTAGTATGTTAGAGTAAAAATTGTTGCATTGAAACATTAAGAAAAATACCATGTGTTCTGTCTTCCATCCTTTTTTTTTTTTTTCCTTACTTATTTAGGTCATTTGCTGAGAAAAGCAGATATTTTCAGTGCTTATTGATGAATTCACTATGAGAGACCTACACTTTCAATTCGTTTCCTTAAATATCAACAAAGTATGAAAATTTAAAACTTTTCCAAGTATTTACTATTAGTAGGTATATATTGGACAGGAGAAGTTCCTAATAGGTATATAACTAGAATTAATAAAAGTTTATTTATATTACTGATAGTTTTTTCCCCCATACTTTCAATGACAGTGCAAAAAATTAATGTGAATTTTATGTTTTGAAATACAGAATTCCAGAAGATTGCCATGGCAACAGCAATAGGATTTGCTATAATGGGATTCATTGGTTTCTTTGTGAAATTGATCCATATCCCTATTAATAACATCATTGTGTAAGTAAATTTTGTAGAACAGACTATATTTAAGAATGAATGAAAATTGAAACTATTTGAGTTGAAAATTAAGTCTATTTTATTAATACTGAGAGCTATCTCTTGACTTCTTAATGTTGTAAATATTTACTGATATTTATTATTTATATTATATACAGTTTTAATATCAATTTTGTGAGCAAGGCTGAGTTTTCTTTGATAACTAAAATTTTTTAGGGTCATGGAAGTTACTTAAAGGGATTCAATATGTCATAAAGTATTCAGTGACAGAACCAATATTCAAGTACAATTTCTCGTTATACTATGTCTTGTAGATTTTCAAGATGCAAAAAAAAAAAAAAAACTTTCTTTATTTGAAAATTATTATTTTGATACAGTTCTGACTCTGAACCAGATTGTCTACATTCTTATGGTTAGTTTTGTTACTAGGCGGTCATAACTTTGTGCAGTGTCTTAGCTTTTCTGTGTCCAATTCATTCAATGAGGATAGTAGTTCTTGCTTGCTTTCTAGTAAAGATTAATGACTTAAGCCATTTAAGGCCTTGAGAAAATGATGTGGTTAAGGATTTAAATGGAAATTATTATTGTAATTAACTACTATCACTAACAGTAGGGTATTATAACCTTTAGGTATAAAGAGGAGGAGAGAACACTGAGAAATACTGAGATCTCTTTGTTCTTTTCCAAAGGCTTTTGCTTCTTAAATTCATTGCAAGAAAAATATTGTCATTGGGACACCTGATGAATCTAATTTTCAGTTTTAGTTAAGTTAGTGGAAGGTCTTGATAGGAGTTTCAGTACTTACTCTGTGATCTTGTGGTCATATTACTTTCTTAGTCTCATCTGCAGTTTGGGGGTTATAGTAACTCTCTTTATTTTATGATGTCTTAAAGTCTGCAACAATTATTTAGACACGTTTTTTAAACTCTAAATCTCTTAAATACTAGGTATTTTGTCACTGATACTGGTGGAGGTTGTCTTATAAATATAGGTGGATTTCTTAAGTAAATTATAATGGTTATTAAGCAAAAGTTTCAGAAAGTGATATTTTAAGATCATGAAGAGTTGTAGCTGTAAGGAACCAAGTCACTCAAATCTCTGTCAGTTCAGAAATCCTTTTTATGTTACTAATGAGAAATGTTAACTCTGGAATTGTGGAACCTTGGAATGAATACCAAATTAGAATTCCCAAACCCTAGACTGTTTCTGGGATATAGTTGCCCAAGTAAAAAGGTGTAATAGAGTCTCCTGTCAAGTCCTTCTTTTTTTTTTTTTTTAATACTACGTTTTTCCCTACCCACACTTAGCAGTGTATTTTTATCTCTCTTGCCAGACTTCACTGTCTGCCTTAGGTCATACTTAGATATGTCTGCCTGTTACATTAAGATTATGAGTTCTGAGTAAAACCTGTTTGGTTATTTAATGTTACATAAATATGTGATATATTTACATAAAAATAAATATATTTATAAATACACACACAAACATATATGTATATAGTAGAATATAGTCTAGTGTTATCTTGTATCCATAAAGCCCTGAATAACTGTTAGTTTAATTAAGTGATCAACTTCAGGTTCTTTATCTTTTTCAAGTGGTGATGGTGTTAATAATATAGAGAACTTACCCTGTG